TTTGTTTTTTCACACAATTTTTTTAGCTACATGATAAAATAGAATTCCTACTAGTAAAATGTGATTTCTTATGCCAGAAATTTACATTTACAACATAATTTTAGAAACATTCTTTAGCTACATGCTAAAAAAAAATCCTACTTCAAATTCCAATTCTTTCTAGATCTTAACCGCATGTTAAAATAGAATTCCTCTTAGTAAATTCAAATCTTTTGTGGAAGAAATTAAATTTTACAACATATTTTAGTAACATTGTTTGGCTACATGCTAAAAAGAATTCCTACTTCAAATTCCAGTTCCTTCTAGATCTTAACTGCATGTTAAAATAGAATTCCTACTAGTAAAATTCAAATCTTTTAATCTAGAAATTCATATTTACAACACAATTTAGTAACATTCTTTAGCTACATGTTTAAATAGAATTCCTACTAGTAAAATTTGAATATTCATGCTAGAAATTTACATTTACAACATATTTTTAGTAACATTCTTTAGCTACATGCTAAAAAAGAATTCCTACTTCAAATTCCAGTTCTTTCTAGATCTCAACTGTATGTTAAAACAGAAATCCTACTAGCAAAATGTGACATTTTAATGGTACAAATTTTTAAGTGATTTTTTTTTTCTACTGAAAACTGAATTTCTGATATCACGACACTGGATAAACGGCTAAATGGCTAAAGCAGCTGTAGTGCAGAGCATTTTCCTTCTTGTAATCTGCAGAGGAGCCTGACGAAGTGAGTGGAAACGCTGCGGTGGTGTGATCCTCTGTAGCAGCGTCTGAGTGGGCTGGAGATCTTTAGATAAAAGCAAGAGGCAGAGCAGCAGCGGCTCTGGGCTCTACACTGCGTGTCTGTGTGATGTAAACTCCTCAGCAGAGTCTGATCTATTACTCACACTGTCACGCAGACACATTTTTCCTTGAAATACCGAGGAAAGGACAGACTATGCATCGTGTATGTTGCAGATATACTGCCCTGCAGGAGGGAAAGAAACCTTTCACGCACACGTATGAGCACAGAATCGGCTGATCGAGGCTGAAAGGCCTCTCTCTCTGTCTCTCTCTCTCTCTCTCTCTCTCTCTCTCTCTCTCTCTCTCTCTCTCCCTCTGTCTCTCTCTTTCTTCTCCCTCTCTCTCTTTCTTGTGCGTACAAACAACTGATCTGTTTGTATAATTGCGAAAACACACTTTGTCTTTGTTAGGCTGCCCCAGATTTTCTTTTCATCTCCTGATGGGGCAAAAAAAGCTTTATTTTTTGCTTCATTGTTGTTTGCTGTGTGTTTCAGCGCACAAACAACAACACAGACACTCGGTTCCAGCAATTTAAAGATACAATAAGTGAGCATACATAAAGAAAAAGAAAAAATGTTCAGAGAAATGAATATTTCCTAGCAGGAGGGAGGCGGTTCTTGTAAAAACATTAAAAAAAAACACTTCTCTGTGGTCGTTATTTCAGTTACAGATGGCCTTAAGTTTTTGTTTTTGGGCCGAAAATAGCAAAAAATATAATCATTAAAGGGACACTCTGACGAAAAAATGGTTTATGATGTTATTTGTCATGTTATGTAGAATCCTGTAGCTCAGTATTGCATTCTGCAGCCTCACCACTTTGACAGAATTCACCATTTTCTATCCCCTTCATTCGTCTCACTACAATACCCAGCATGCACTACACAAAAACATCATACAGCTGGTGGGAATTTTCCCACCGTGGTGAAGAAGTCCTGACTAATATAAAGGCTAATAAACACAGATGTGATGTTCAGATTTCATACATCTTACTGTATTAGCTAAAGCTCCTCCCACCTTCAACAGACATCATCAGAAAAGGAGTTTCTGAGTCTTTGAACTGGAGAATCTCACTGCAGCACCACTGTAGGAGGTGACCAGGCATGTTTACAGCAGGTTTAATGACGGTTATATTTTTTTATACAGGTGTAATACAGTCATTTTAAAAGAGCAGGACTTCATATATATATATATATATATATATATATATATATATATATATAGAGAGAGAGAGAGAGAGAGAGAGAGAGAGATAAATAGATAGATTAATCTTTAATATATGATTTTATTCTGAGTAATTCTGGGCCATTTCTATTGGTCCACACATCATGAAATGTTCACATTATGACACTCACACACACACACACACACTCAGAAATATACATACACACACACATACACACAGATATACACATGTGCACACACACACACACACACACACACACACACATACACACAGATGCACTGGTACACAGGGTGTGTGTAAGCGCTCTCATTGTGTTGAATCTCCTGAGCAAAAAGCTCTCATCTCTCTGATGACAGACAGACTTTATCTCCAGAGATCCGGAAAGAGATTCTCCCTCAGCACACACACACACACACACACACACACACACACACACACACACACACACACACACATCATGACAAAACCTCAGAATCAGCCCAGAGAGACGTTACAGAGCAAACTCCTCGTTTACTCCAGCCAGAGTGGCATCCCTCGAGTATCCCTCCTCAGGGAGGAGAGTAAAAAAAGCAGGATGACTGCAGCGGAGAGGAGGAATGAGAGGCTGTGTTCACATTACAAGCCTTTAAAGGGGAAATCCATCAGTGTCTGTCTTACCGAGTCAAAACTGTTCACAGTGGTGGTGATAGGAACCAGACGTCCACCTCTAAAAGCTCCCTCACAGAAAGTTCCTACATGAAATGGTTATGAATTCACTGCCTGATGACTGAGACTCTGTTTAATGACAGTTTTGAGAAGATTTTTGGAATAAAACATCCTTTCTTAATCTATTCCTGGTGGAGGAATTCATGCAGGGTGTTGTGAGGCAAAATAGTCCTCAAAAAATGTATTATTTCAGATTTTCCACTATTTTCCATCATCAACATTCCATATAAACTCAGAAGACTCGTGTAGGTTCACTGGTGGTTCTGGATAGTAAATAAAACGTCTATATTTGTGTTGTAGTCATGGCGACCCCTGGTTCCTATCACCACCACTGTAAAGAAATCTGACTTTCTAGATTTCTCTAAAATTAAATATTTCACAATTAAGCAGGAATTTCACTTCAAGGAAAATTAGGCTTCATCTCCAGTGTCCAAATATTTATGCAAAACACTTTCATGTCTCTTTAAGTCAAAATAAACCTAAATAAAATAAAACTACCGCCAAACATGCTGATGTAAATATTCTTAAAGAGTGTATCTCAGCATCACTAAAGGTCAGCTTTGTGCAGTGGACCAGTCAGGGGGAGGTCTCAGAAGGATTTATGTGCTGATTAGGACCAATCACAGTCAGGGGGAGGTCTCAGAAAGATTGACGTGGTGATTAGGACTAATCACAGTCAGGGGGAGGTCTCAGAAAGATTGACGTGGTGATTAGGACCAATCACAGTCAGGGGGAGGTCTCAGAAAGATTGACGTGATGATTAGGACCAATCACAGTCAGGGGGAGGTCTCAGATTAAATGACTCGGTCCCAGAATGAATGACGTGGTTTCTGTATTTTAGTATTTTATTGCTAAAAAAAATTAAAACACTATTCTTGTAAAGAAAACTTGCTTAGAACCGAAGTTCTAATGTGTGCATTACACCATCTACAGATGTTTATAGCTATGAAAGAACATTTTTGTGGGTGGAGCATGAATAAATCATGTGGAACCAAATTCTATGAAGTAAATATAAAATCAGAGAAGTTCTAATGAGGAAAGCTGGCACTCTTCCAGTTTTGTCAGGCACTAGAGGGCGCTCCCGAGCGAGTCCTAAATGAATGGGCTGCTATGGAGCTTTTGTGCAAAATCACAGTTTATAAATCAGCTTAATCACTTTCATACAGAAAAATGCAGAACTCAGAACATCAGAAAACATTTTCAAAACTGCTGTTATGTTTTTGAGAACATGCTATTTTAGCTGACCAATCAATCAGCACTCAGTAGCAGGAATGCTAACGAATCAGCACTCAGTAGCAGTAAGGCTAATCAATCACAACTCAGTAGCAGTAACGCTAACCAATCAGTATTCAGCAGCAGTAATGGCAACCAATCATCACTCAGTAGGAGTAATGCTAACCAATCAGCACTCACGTAGCAGTAATGCCAACCAATCAGCACTCAGTAGCAGTAACTCCAACCAATCAGCAATCAGTAGCAGTAATGCCAACCAATCAGTGCTCAGTAGCAGTAACTCCAACCAATCATCACTCAGTAGCAGTAACTCCAACCAATCAGCACTCACTAGCAGTAATGCCAACCAATCAGTGCTCAGTAGCAGTAACTCCAACCAATCATCACTCAGTAGCAGTAACTCCAACCAATCAGCACTCACTAGCAGTAATGCCAACCAAGCAGTGCTCAGTAGCAGTAACTCCAACCAATCATCACTCAGTAGCAGTAACTCCAACCAATCAGCACTCACTAGCAGTAATGCCAACCAATCAGTACTCAGTAGCAGTAACTCCAACCAATCAGCACTCAGCAGCAGTAATGCTAACCAATCAGCACTGAGTAGCTACACTGGGAACCAGTCAGCACTCAGTAGCAGTAAGGCCAACCAATCAGTAGTCAGTAGCAGTAAAGCTAAGCAATCAGCTCTCAGTAGCAGTGATGCTAACCAATCAGCTCTCAGTATCACTAAAGCTAACCAATCAGCTCTCAGTAGCAGTGATGCTAACCAATCAGCTCTCAGTAGCAGTGATGCTAACCAATCAGCTCTCAGTAGCATCCTACAGCTCAAAACCTGGTTTATAGGTATGTTTTTGTTGATGTTTTCATGAAAAGCTTCCTTTTACTTTCCAAATTTAAAGGAAGTTAATATAAATGGTTAGAAACCTGCATTTTTCATTTTTGGTCGTTTAGCTTCATTTAGCCTCATTCGTTGTGGACTTAAATGCTCGAGGGCGCCCTCTAGTGTTCAGCAGCCATTTAACATATAACGGTAGAAACAGGCTCCCCCAAACTGGCTGTGTAAAACCATGCATGTACAGAACTCACCATCCTCGGTGGGGACGTATATGTTGAGGTACAGGCAGTCCTCGCTCTGGTTCTGGACGTAGGCGGCGGCGGCATCCAGGTTGTCCGTGAACCAGACGGGCAGCATGATCTCGGGCAGAACGCCGTGGATGTTCTGCGGGCACACAGGGGCAAACTGGGTGGCGTTTCGGATGTCCTGCCAGGAGCCCGGCGCCTCGGGGGGCTGAAAGCGCCGCTCGCCCACCGGCGCGGTGGCGTACGGCACGCCCAGGTACTGATCCACTGGGCCCAGGATCTCGTTATTCAGCTCCTTTCGTATCCCGCGGAGCTTCCCGTAACCCGTGGCGACGATGGGGTGTTTGGGGGCGCTGAGGTCAGCGGCCCGCTGGCATGAGGACAGCGCCAGCCTCAGTGCCAACCACACCAGGCACGTGTGCCACCTGCGGCGTGGGCACGGCGCCCGCACGCAGCCGCTAACGCCCCCTAGTGACATGACCGGGTCCTGCAAGGGTTTGTGTGTGTGGGGGGGGGTGTTATGGCAAAAAGTGATGGAGAATAGGTGTCTGTCAGGCCCTAGCAGGTGTTACAGTAATGAGCGAAGGACTGGAAACAAGAGAAAGGTGGAGAATAGTTCCTGGTGATGGACTGGAAATGATAGAGAATCGTTACGGAAAAAAAATAAATAAAGAAATAAAAAAATGGTTTCCTAGCAACCCCAGAGCAGGGTGTTGCAGCAAAAAGTGAGGGTGGAAAACAGTTGTAGTTCCTAGCAGGGGTCACGGCAAAAACTAAAGGACTGGAAACAAAGGAAGGTGGAGAATAGTTCCTAGCAGTCTCCAGCAGGTGTTACAGCAAAAACGAAAGGATGGAAACTAACGTGAGATTTGTTTCCTAGCAACCCCAGAGCAGGGTGTTGCAGCAAAAAAGTGAAAGATGGGGAACAAAGGAACACAGAGAATAGTTCCTAGCAGCCACAGGGCACGGTGCTGCAGCAAAAAATGATAGACGGGAAACAAAGGAAGGTGGAGAATGATTCCTATCAGCCTCAAGAGGACAGCCAGAGTAGAACTGGGGGTCGGGGTGGTGCGAGGAGTGTGTGGGGGTGGGGGGGGGGTGTGCAGAGGGATTTAACCCCTTAAACTGCAGGCGTGTTATTCAGTAAATGATCTTATTATTCAGAATCTGACTGTGAATAACGCAGTAACTGCTATGAAGCTAATGCCTACGTTCTGTAGTGACGAGGAAGAGGGGCTGGAGTGTGGACCCTCATACAGTCCCTCAGAGTTTAAGGGGCTAATCTGGGTTATGGTGTGTGTGTTGGAATAGAGTGTGTGTGTGTCTCTAGCGGCACACGAGAGCGGCCTGACGCAGAGCACTGAAGAGTTTCATGCTGACGCTACTGCACCATCCATCCTCTCGTGATCTCTTCATCAGCTTCCTGCAGAGTGAGAGAGAGAGAGAGATGAGGGAGGAGAGTGATGAGGGGGAGAGAGAGAGGTAATATAAAGGGGAGAGAAGAGAGAGTGAGAAGAAAGAATGAGAGAGGAGAAAGAGAAAGAAAACAGAGAAAAAAGAGAGGAGAGAAAGAAAGATGAGGAAAGAGTGAAAGAGAGAGAAAAGGAAAGAGAAATGGGGAAAGAGAAAGAGAGAGAGCAAGAGAGAGAACGAGGAAAGAAAGAGACAAAAGAGAGAAATGAGGGGAGAGAAGGAGAGAAAGAGAAAGAGGAGGGAGGGGAGAGAGCGAAAAGAAAAAGAGGAAAAGAAATGAAGAAAAATAAAAAAGTGGAAGAAAGAAAGAAAGATGAGAAAATAGTGAAAGGAGAGAGGGAAAAAGAGAGAGAAATGGGTAAAAAAGAGCAAGAGAGAGAGAGAAAGAACAAGGAAGAAGAGAAACAAAAGAGAGAAATGAGGGGAAAGAGAGAGAAAGAGAGAGAGAGAGAGACATAAGGTGGAGAAAGAGAGATGAGGTGGAGAAAGAGGAGTAATAAAAAAGGGAAAGGAGGGAGGAGAGAGAAGGAGAAGAAAGAACGAGAAAGCAGATAGAGAAAGTGAAAGAGTGAAAGAGAGAGAATAAAAAGAAAGAGAAATGGGAAAAGAGAAAGAGCAAGAGAGAGAGAACGAGGAAGAAGAGACAAAAGAGAGAAATGCAGGGAAAGAGAGAGAGAGAGAGAGAGAGGCAGACAGAGATGAAGGAGAGAGAGAGGTAACAAAAAAGGGAGAGGAAGGAGGAGAGGGAAGAAGAAGAAAGAGGGAGAAAGAGAAAGAAATGGAAAAAATCAGAGCAAAAAAGTGAGAGAGCAAGAAAAAAGGAAGATGAGAAAAGAGTGAAAGAGAGATAAAGAAAGAAATGGGGAAAGAGAAAGAGCAAGGAAGAAGAGACAAAGAAGAAATGAGGAGAAAGAGAGAGAGAGAGAGAGAGAGAGAGAGAGAGGGAGTGAGAGAGAAAGAGAGAGGGAGAGAGAGAGAGAGAGAAAGAGCGAGAGAGATTAAAATAGAGCTCATGCTGTTATTGTGAGCTGCTGAGACAGAATCAACACACACACACAAAAACACACTTTACACCACGAGTCTATTAAAGCGTCGCCCCCAGAACTGCAGCTACATCAACAGCAAACAGGCCAATTCTTTATGCTAGCATGATAATCACCACGGTGACACATGTAATCTATCTCCTTTAACTCATCTCCTCATCTCCGCACGCTACACTCGTCCTTTGTTTGAGAAGATGAACGTATAGGAGGAGCCGCGCAGCTGCGGGCGCAATTTTACACTGATAACATAACGCACGGCATCAGGGCTGTCACGATTAATCGATTAGTCTCGATTAATCTCGGTTACTTGATTGAAATATACTTTCTCAGGTAACTGGCAGTGATTAGGTGGTAGTTTACATGCTGATGCACATTTTTAGTTCTCTTACTGCTCTCTCTCTCTCTCTCTCTCTCTCACTCTCTCTGTTCTTTGTTTTGTAACCAGTGTTTTTATTAGTGCTGTGAAAGTAAATGCGTTAATAATGTGTTTTAGTTGTAAACACACTGTAATCAAGCTTATTCTGTCCACTCAAACAGCTAGAATAAAATGCACCACTTTTTAATATGAAAACAATCTTTCTTCAGGGCCAAATTTGAACAAACACGCCAAATTAATTGCAATTAACTGACCAAATAATGTGATTAAATGCAATTAAGTCTGTTAGCCATTTGTGTGTTTTTTTTAAAACCTCCTGGTTTATGTTTTCCTAGTATTTGGAGATCTTTGAAAGGCTGTGCAGGGTTTGTTATTGTTTAGTTAAATTCAAAAAACTCCAAAGGTTTGTGCACCCTGGTCAAATTTCTTTTGATTTTCTAAGAGAAAAGAAGTGAAAATGTCCTCTACAGAGAACACACTCCTGCACACTTTAACACTCAACTACTGTTTATTAGAAATTGTGCACTAAAATGTGCAGAACATCTACAAGGTTGACTGACAAGGTAGGAGGGTCTAATAGAGTGGACAGTGAGTGGACACAGTGTTTAACAACTCCAGCAGCACTGCTGTGTCTGATCGACTCAGACCAGCGCAACACACACTACCACACCACCACCACGTCAGCGTTACTGCAGTGCTGAGAATGACCCACCATTCATTCTTCCAACATCTCTTTAAACAGGCTGTTTTTGTTACTGTGCCTTTAAGACTGATATATGTAAATGAGCTCTGTCCTGATTGGCTGTGCTTCATTCAAAAAAAGCAGTCCAGGCTAAATCACTCTTTATAACTTCAGCTTGAATGGGCGGGGCCAAGCCTGCCATAGGCTAAATATGTGGATATAGGGAGACGTGTTGGTTTCTTTGACATCGCAAAAATAATGCATTTAAAAAAGGCTGTTTGTTAAGCCTAATTTCCATGGACCGGGGAGCGAATGGTATGTTTTGAAACGTTAACAATGAGTGCGTTTGCATGCACTCAAGTTCTAGCTCAGATTTCAGTGAACTCTTACTCTGATTTCTTTCGGATTCCTTTGTCTGTGCAGGTGCGAAAACAGAAGCCAGTACTGGAAATAAGCGAGCAGCGTCGCCGCGAGATTTAAAGATTTTCCAGCTTCTAAATGATGTATTTTCATATTTTCAGCTAAAGTGGTGCGATGATTTTCAAAAAAGCCATGAAGCACGAAGTTTAAGTTTTACATTACGTTTACGTTGCATCTTTCTTACTTTGCATCGTTCTGTAAGTTTATCGGCTGGTTTCAAAGTAGAAATCTGATTACTCCTTGACTCATGAAGACCTGGAGTTTCCCCATTATCTGATTACCCAATTGCATGTAAATGTGTTGATCAGATTACTGACAAAATCTGATTTTCTGCAGTTATTGAATTATTAAGTGCATTTAAATGCAAACAATGCTTGCATGCTGTATGAAAGTCTTTTATTTTAAAAAAGTGAGGTTTTCCATGATACAGGCCCTTTACGTTTATTAAACCGGTGTTGCTCCTGTTTTGCTTAAATGACAAAATTCAAACAAAATAGTAAAAATTGCTGAGCAATGGTTAAAAAAGCTAAGCTGAATATTTTATTTAGAGTAAATGTACACACTGTCAGTGTGCAGTCCCACTATTATAGCTACTAAAGAGACCTTTACCGGGGAAATGGACTCCAGTCGGCTACTGTACTGTATGCTGTAAATCATCGTGTCCCACCTCTTGTTAGCGCACTGTGTCAGAGGCAGATTGGTTCCGTCATCTCCATCTAGCAGGGAGTCAATTAGGCAGCGTGCACAGTATTTCACACCCTCACTGTACACAGCTACACCTCCGCTACTGACAGTGTGCCAAAGCGCCCCGGCAGGTGACAGTGTACACTGAGGAAGGTGCTGTGTCGCATTTACTTGATTCAAATGTGTACATCAATTCCATCCCAGTCAGCCACAGCATTAAAACCACCTTGTCTCTACACTCACTGTCCATTTTATCAGCTCCACTGACCACATAGTGTCACTCTGTACCTCTACAGTTACAGACTGTAGTCCATCTGTTTCTCTGCACACTTTGTTACCCTGTTCTTCAGTGGTCAGGACCCCCATGGACCCTCACAGAGCAGGTACTATTTGGGTGGTGGATCATTCTCAGCACTGCAGTAACACTGAAGTGGTGGTGGTGTGTTAGTGTGTGTTGCGCTGGTCTGAGTGGATCAGACACAGCAGTGCTGCTGGAGTTTTTAAACACCTCAGTGTCGCTGCTGGACTGAGAACGAAAAACATCCAGCCAACAGCGTCCTGTGGGCAGCGTCCTGTGGCCACTGATGAAGGACTAGAGGATGACCAACACAAACTGTGCAGCAGCAGATGAGCTATCGTCTCTGACTTTACATCTACAAGGTGGACTGACAAGGTAGGAGTGTCTAAACGAATGGACAGTGAGTGGAGTGTTTAAAACTCCAGCAGCACTGCTGTTTCTGATCCACTCAGACCAGCGCAACACACACTAACACACCACCACCACGTCAGTGCTGAGAATGATCCACCACCCACATAAAGTCCTGACCACTAAAGAACAGGGTAACAAAGTATGCAGAGAAACAGATGGACTACAGTCTGTAACTGTAGAACTACAGAGTGAAACTATACGGTCAGTGGAGCTGATAAAATGGACAGTGAGGTGGTTTCAGTGTAATGGCTGATTGGTGTATAGCGCACCATTTTGGGGTTTCTGTGTTTTGTAGTGGTGCAGGAAATCCAGTGCACTCAAACAATCCCAAAATGCACCACAATAAGTAGGGTACAACTGAAGTACCCTAGGGAGAGGGGATACCCATAATGCACTGCATTGTTTGGTTTGAACATTCACGCAGAGCTTCACTGAGTAGGATTAGCGAGCCCAGCTACAATGGCAGCG